TCAGAGACATGGTGAAGTTACTGCAATTTAAATTCTATAAAAGAAATGGAATTTCAGGAGGACCTGAGAGTGAGTGGAATTGCATCCAGACAGGATCCGACAGGAGCTGGTGGAGGCCAGCATCATAATTCATCTTTACATCTCCAGCTTAGATACACTATTGTGCTTGTTAAATTAAATGGGAAATAAAGGCCAAACCTGCAACTAAAGTTTAAAGACCTCTTCCCCCTCAGAAAATAGCTGGTGTTCATGAAGTTCATAGTGTAACTTTAGTAGTCAGTTCAAAGAAAATGTTAGAAAATTAAAATGAAACCCTTCCCCCCAGTAATTTAGTTTGAAAATATTTTTTTAGAGACTATATATCATTTTAACAATGGTGAGCAAAGTTTTGCTTCAATATCAATTCTGAATTAAAAATGCGCCCACTTGAAAGATTTATCAAATGAAGAACAGTAATTCACAAAATGGCTACTTACTACAAAGAATATTTAATTATGATAAATTGAGAGTAGATTATGAAGTCCTTGAGGGCAGCAACTGGCTCTCATTCATTTTTGTATCCTTCAATACCAAGCACCTAGGAGGTACTCAATAAATATAGGTTCAATTAATGAGTCTGTTTCAGACTAGCATTAATCAACTTCAAGGTCAGCAGATATAATGTCAGAAAAATACTAATAAAAATAATTATTTAACACGCTAAATGATTCAAAGAGTAAACTTTGCATACGGATACTACTTTCTTGGCTAAAATGACATAAAAATTAAAACAAAAACCAAACAGAAAACCATATTGGATATTGTGAGAGGGGAATAAGAAAGAGAGTTGGGGACTTCCCTGGTGCCACAGTGGTAGAGAATCCGCCTGCCAATGCAGGGGACATGGGTTCGAGCCCTGGTCTGGGAAGATCTCACGTGCCTTGTAGCAACTAAGCTGTGCGCCACAACTTCTGAGCCTGTGCTCTAGAGCCCACAACTACTGAAGCCCATGTGCCGAGAGCCCGTGCTCCACAACAAGAGAAGCCACCGCAGTGAGAAGCCTGCGCACTGCAAGGAAGAGTAGCTCCCACTCGCTGCAACTAGAGGAAGCCCACGCGCAGCGACAAAGACCCAAAACAGCCATAAATAAATAAATAAATAATAAATTTATTAAAAAAGAGTTGATTCCTTTAGACATACAATCTTATTAATGATGTGAAAGCCACAGAGTGACAGAATTTCAGAGTTCTAAGAGACCTTACATAATAATTCATTACAAGAAAAATGCCACATGATCATACAAAATTGAGAAATGACACAGGAATTGACATAGGAATTCACATCAAGATTCTGTGGTCTGAGATGGACTTGAAGTTATATCTTGAGGTAAGGAAAGGCCACAGAAAGGGAGCAGAGAGCATTCAAGATGAGTTTAACTGTTTGAACAAAAATCTAGAGTTAGAAAAGTACAAGATATTTTTGAAATTAAAAAATAATTTGATAGGAATACAGTATTTATATATGAGTAAGAGAAAAGACAAGGCTGGAAGGGAGTATTTAATTCTCAATTAAGGAATCAGGACTGAAAAGGTAGGATTTGAATGGTTTTTAAGACATTAATAAAGTCAACAATTTATCAAGGATATATTACCTGATCCTTTTGTGTTCTACTGAAGGCATCACGAACAACAAAAACACCCAAATGGATTGTTAGGGAATGAATACTCCTATTCATTTATACATTTTACCTTAATATTCTTTTTAAAGTACCGAGGTATATAAACACATTTTAGAAGACTGAGAGTGGAGTAATGGGACACATTTATATGATTTAGTAGTTTGATTTTACTTTTTTTTAAAACAGGGAACATGTTTAATTTTTAAGTAAAATGAAAAAAATGTATAGCAGCTGTCTAACCAGAGTGGCCTATTCCTTAAGGTATAATTTGATTTGAATAGAATTATTTAGAAATATCAAAGCTAAATTCCATTCCTACTGTTTTTATTGCTTATAATGAGTAACTGGCATAGCTCTTACACTATTCTTAGCATGAAACTTGGCACTTTGGCACTACACTGATGTCAACTCAATTTAGAGTAGGAACTCAGTTATCGACTAAATACAGAGATGAGAAAGTGGTGTTCTGTTGAAAATTACCACACAGCATTCCAAATTTCACATTACATTTTGGAACCATCCTTTTTTTCCTTACATATTTTATTTTAAAGAATTGTGGGGACTTCCCTGGTGCCACAGTGGTTAAGAATCTGCCTGTCAATGCAGGGGACATGGGTTCGAGCCTTGGTCTGGGAAGATCCCACATGCCGCAGAGCAATTAAGCCTGTGCGCCACAACTACTGCCTGTGAGCCACAACTACGGAGCCCGCGTGCCACAACTACTGAAGCCTGCGCGCCTAGAGTCCATGCTCCGCAACAAGAGAAGCCACCGCAATGAGAAGCCCCTGCTTGCCGCAACTAGAGAAAGCCCGGGCGCAGCAACGAAGACCCAATGCAGCCAAAAATAAAATAAAACAAATAAACTTATTAAAAAAATTGTGGAAAATGTCAAACATAAACAAAAGTATAATAGTATAATAAAACCTCATGAACCCATAACCCAGCATCGGCAAGTATCAACCTTCTGCCAATGCTGTTTCAACTACCCATCTTTATTTCTTCTAAAATATTTTAAAGCAATTCTCAGACATATTATAGTTTATACATAAATATTTCAAAATGTACCTCTAACAGATACAGATGTAATATAAAAAGTCACATTAAAGAGCCTGTTCATCCTGAAATTTTTCCCTTCTTAGTAAATGGCTCAAGCCAAAACCTCACAGTCATCCTTGACTCATCTTTCTCTCATACTCCAGAGCCAATATGACACGCAATACTGGTTAGATTCTGAACCTCCCCTGCTATGCTATCATTATTTAAGTCATAACACCTTTTGCCTGTCCTATGGCCACAGCTCCCTAACTGGTCTCCCTAGCACCCCCGTAACCTCAGATTCTGCACTTGTTGCCTCTGCCTGAAATGCTTTCCCTCCAAAAAAAAACTGGGAACTGTCACTTCCTTGAGGTCTTTTCGAATTTGATCCTATTAGAAAGGCTTGCCCTTACCATCATGTCTATACAACATGGCAACAACCATCACCCCTGCCCTTAACCTATCCCCTTTGGCCATCTTCTCCATCACCACCTGATGTATTTCCTATTTTGTCTTATCCTGTTAGATTGTAAGCTTCAGGAGGGCACTGTGTTGATTTTATTCACTTTTGTATCACTTTGTATCACTAGTGTCCAAAATTGTAGTGACACACAGACATGGAGTAGGCACTTAAGTATTTAAGACTGAAAATTATTTGATAACTAACAGATTATAATTTTAAAACTTTTTCCTACAGAATTTGAAACAATAATTGAAATTCATTTGGGAGGTACATCTTGAGAGCTCTGTCTCAAGATTTTTTAAATCAAGTCTATCAATTATTTAAATCAATTTGTAATATATGTGTCCTATTTAAGCAGTGCGGATTATGCACCTTGAAAACATATCTAGATGTTTGTATGTATGTATGTATTTTTATTTATTTACTTATGGCCCCGCGGCGTGGCATGCGGGATCTTAGTTCCCCCACCAGGGATCTAACCCCAGCAGTGCAAGCCAGGAGTCTTAACCACTGGACCACCAGGTAAGTCCCTCTAGCTGTATTTAAAAGAGTGGCATTACTTAGTGTCAAATCTGCATTCAGCATCTAGAATCACATGGAATCAGCACTAAAACACCACCAAAGCTCACGATATAGGCAGCCATTATCTTGCTCTAGTTCTATGATTCTTTGCCAAAAATAGTGCAATGTAAGATCAATCAACTATGCCAATAAAACCGGGGTAAAGGAGATAAGGAAAGCAGTGATGCAATACAAATGATTTATTTCAGTATCAATTTGGTATGTTATATTAGAAAACTATTTTTGTTTTCTCTTTACAAAAGAGAATGTTGTTGCTACTATGTCTATGTCATCAACTTAAACACCAGACTGTTTACAACCCATGTTGTGGTGAAATTTACATCTGTTCGTAGATTTAACTGAGTTGGCATAATGTGGGTGATGACTGTAGAAAACTGTCCAAGTTCCCTAGTACTGACACTTCCTTGATTTCTGAATACCGCGAGACGGTCAACTTTTCCCCTTAAAGTGTATTTGAAAAATGTCCCTGTGACTATAAGCACAACATGAATCTTCCCTTTCTCTCGCACTGCTCTACTGTCAGTGCTTCCCATTTCGAAAATGAGTGGGAACCCCCCTAACTCAGTGGCCCTGGCAAAGTCTGGACGCCAACTGGGGATCTCCATTTCTCCCGCGGACTGCCAAGTCCAGGGACCGGACGGGGTGAGAGAGGACTGCAGGGAACTGTGCTGGCAGCTTTCTGGATTGAGGGGCAAGGAAAGGAAACTTCCTTCTTGGACTCGGCGAGGAGAGTGAGAAAGACGAAATGAAAGGGTGGGGGTGGTTCAAGAACGGTCTCTGTTACGCCGCGGACTCGCAAGGCCTCCGCCAGCCCCGGGAGGGAGGTCACACGAGCACCGGCGTCGTGAGGTCAGAAAGGCGGGTGGTGCTGTGCCTCGGCCCGAAGCCAAAATCAAGGCGACCTCCAGAGGAGGGAGGAAGCTCCGGGCCCCGTCCCCACTCCGCCTCGCTTCCCCGGGAGCGGCGGCTGGGCAGGAGCGGGGAAGAAAACGGCCGCCGGGCCCAGAGGGGCACCAGGCCGCGCCCATCACCCGGGCCTCCGGCCGCAGCAGGCCCGCCGGGCGGTCGGCGAAGCCCGGTGCAGAGGGCGCGGCCGCCTCGGGCGAACCTTCCCTGGCCCCTTCAGGAGTCGCCACCCCTTCTTCCCGCCGCGGTACCTGAACTGCACGACTGAGGAAGGTGCCCGCGTCGGCCGCCAGCTTCTTCACGTTGAAGTCCATGATGTTCATTCTGGGAGGAAGCCGGGCGGAGCTGCCGGCTGACCTAGCGGGGAGGCTGAGGCGCCGCGGCCGGGCTGGGGCGCCGGGCGAGTGGCGGGGTCAGACGTGGTAGGTGGAGGGAGGCGGCGCCAGTCCCGCCGCCGCAGCTGTCGTTTCCGTGAAGGGGGAGAGAGAGGGTGGGGTGAGGGGAGAGAACTAGCGCCTCGGAGCCGGCCGCGCGCCCAGGCGGCGGCGGCGGCGGCGGCGGCCGAGACACAGGGCCTGTCCTACCGGGAGTGCTGCCACTAACGTCGGCAGGGGCCGCGGTGGGCTTGCAGAGGACTACCGGGCAACTCGGCCGTGAAAGTCCGGGTCCCGAACGGAGAAAAAGAGCGCGGGCCGCGGGGCGGAGCCTTTGTAGAGGTTATCGCGGGAACAGCGACCCCTTCAGGATCGCCGCGGGGCGCGCCGGGAGCTTGGCCAGTTCCGCCTCGGGGAGGGTCGTGTTCGTTGTCAGGTGCGCGCCGCTGGGCGGCTGAGGCGCTGCGGTTTGCAATTAAGCCCCTGAGAACCAAGAGCAGAGGCAACCCAAATCCCCCCTTTTTGTTTTAAGTGAAAATGTGGAAGTTGTAGCATAAAATTACAGTATCTGTGAAATTAGAACCAGCAGCTCCCTGTCATCTTGTAGCACCCGCGCCCCGCTGGTCCCTGACGCCTGGATGGCACTTGGCGAACGTTTGCAGTATAGGGTCGAATTTAATGTCCCCACCGAGCCTGTTGTTCATTCATTCAGCATTATTGAGTATCTGCCGTGTACCAGGATTGAATCATGTGCTGGAGATACCACGCTGAACAAGACTGTCCCTGCCCTCAGGAAGCTCTCAGTTCGGTTACTTGACAACCTTCAGAGACACCCTCTTCCCCCTGCTCCAGTTTTGTTTCTATTTGCTGCCACAAGGATTTTGTGACTGCCTAACGTGCTGGATTACAAGATCAACACTAGGTGCATACTTGGTGCGAAATACGGTGCCCAGGACACCAAGTGCCGGGTGGAGAACGTATAAGATGGTGAGTGAGATAGAATAACCCTTAACTATTCAGCGAGGCGAATTTTAATAACTAATGAAAATATGATGTGAATTTTAATACCTAATGAGAATATGATGTGAAATCTGTTCAAAACCCGGTAATTCCAAATGGCTTCTAAAGCAGTCTTCAGGATACAGCCTATGCTTGAACTAATTTAAAACAGGTGCAAGAACGGAGGGAGAGACATTAGTATTTCAAGAGTAAAAAAAAGCTCTATGTATTTTTTGTCTCTGTGCCTTTGTGTTACCATAGGACTGGAAAAATGCAGGCCCGGCAGGCAATGAAATGAGCTCACATTCATGCTTCAGTGTTGTACTGAAACAGCGGTCACAGCAGTAGGAGCTATGTTAAAGGCACAAAGATTAGTTCCTAAGGGTATTATAAGGAACAGCAGATAACATAAATATTTGTGTTCTTTGTGGTGGTGACAAAAGAAGCAACCATTTCTTTCTAAGGTAACTACGAAAGAAAGAGTCGACTCCATCTTTCTTCTCGTTTTTCCAGAAATATGGAAAAGGAAATATGTAATCAGGAATTTGTTCTTTACTGTCCATTTTAGATTTTTATGTGGAAAGCATTTTATCTCCAGATGTCTGTCTTCACAATTATATTTGTCATAATCTATGTCTGTTTCTACGAAAGGAACACAACAGTGCCTTCACCATTAGAGGAAAAAACTCTGGATCCTCTTCCTCAAACTTGTAGATCTCCTGACTTGAAAAAAAATCTTCACTTGTTCCTGTTGAGCCCTCTACAGCTATAATACTGATTCTTTCGTTTCACTGACAAATTCATAAGACTAGTGTGTTGTCTCTATTTCTTTACCATCTTAGAATTTCCTGCCTAGTTCCATGCAGTTGATTTCCACTTCTGTAACTATACCTAAACAGCATTCCTGAGGTTGCCAGTTATCTTCCTGATAAATCAAACGGCCTTTTCTCAGACTTCCACAGTGACTCTACCCAGCTCCTTCCCACAACACACCTCTTTCCAGGGCCTTATTGTTTCCTGGTTTCCCTGCTACCTCCTGGACTTTCTCACTCTATTTTGCTGGCACTTCTGATGACTTTACTGTAAGTATTCCTTAAAGCTCAATGTTTAGTACTTATTTATTGTTGTTGTTTTCTTTGATTAGTTTCTTAATTGAAACTTCAGTTATACTACTTCATTCTTTCATTCATTCATTTAGTAAATATTTTTTGAACATCTGTGTGCCACATGGCATTGTTCTTATGACTAGGAATATAGCAGGCAACAAGACAGACAGCGCTTGCTCTCATGGGAGTTTATAACTAATCCCGTAAAACAGAAATTGAATAAGTAGTCATAAGTATGATAAAATGCCTAGGGGAGTTCAGAGTGCTCTTAAATGTTCACCTCCAGCCTGTACCTAGTAACCTGAATTTTAATTTGGAGGCTTGGTCTTTCTGTAAGTGTTCCAGATCACCTTTTAAGGCTTTCTTTTTCTGTCCGCCATACTAACTTCTTATTCCAATAGTTCAAGGTATTAGGAAAGCAGTCTTTTAAAGTTCATATAAAGTGCTGAATATCTGAAATTATCCCCGAAGTTTTTAGCTTAAAAAATAAACAAAATTTTTAGTAGTATATATTTTAATGGTTTTTTTTTGTAGTGGCTGACAAAGTGTTCATTACCTTATGTTTAGACCAATGACATCGAAAGTGGAGGTATGTATACTTCATGGGTGTGCAAGATGATGCACTGGGGCACATAAAGATGTATTAGAAGTTTGGCTTGCATTTACTTTTATCTAATAAATAGAAAAATTTGTTTCATTAATTTTTTAAAAATACGGATTGACACTGGTCTCCCCACCTTGTGTTTATCAGATAGACACACATCACAAACAAACAGTAAATGAAGTATCCTAAGGGAAGAGTTGGAATTCCACAACTTGGAAGAGTTGAAATTAGTACTTTACTTTGATTATGTGCTTCAGCATATGGTTACATAATACATTGTGACTGGTTCCATGTCTTTGTAGATTATCTTATCTATCTAGCTTTAACTGAATAAAACTTCGCAGTAATGGACAGGTAGCCTAAAGAGTTTTCCCCAAATAAATCATCATTAAAAGTGTTGATACAAGCATAAGCAAACAAGAAATGCCAGAATCAATACTCTACTTGCTGCATTTATCAGGAAGATTGTTGAAATATGGATTAAAAGATGATAATACTTGGTTCCAGCTTTCAGGGAACTCAGAATCTAGTAGGGGAAACAAACTTGTAAAGCAGTGTGTGAAGAGTACCTGTAAAAGCTTGTTTAAGATTGGGCAAGGGTGAGAAAGTGTAGAGGAGGTGGGTATTAAGTTACCAGAATAGGGGAGGTGATAATTAGGACTTCTTGAGCTGACTTTTTTTTTTAAAACATCTTTATTGGAGTATAATTACTTTACAATGGTGTATTAGTTTCTGCTTTATAACAAAGTGAATCAGTTATACATATGTCCCATATCCCCTCCCTCTTGCGTCTCCCTCCCACCCTCCCTATCCCACCCCTCTAGGTGGTCACAAAGCACCGAGCTGATCTCCCTGTCTTGAGCTGGCTTTTGATGGAGTTCATCTGGCAGATTGAGGCATGAGGGTGGGGAGAGATGATCACATTTTCAACTTAGAAATATCAGGTTTTGGGCAGTGTGGATAATGGGTTGGAGAGGGGCAAAGACAGGTAGCAAGAGTGATTAGTTATCTATAGCCATACTCACCCTGTACTCTGCTATCTTTAAATCTTGGATTTGGAAACTTAGTTTTGACCAAAATTCCCCCTCCTTTGATCTCTGACTTCTTTACTCATTTGAGTGTGTTCTCATGATCATCAAGGCCTGCAATCCCATGCGTTGTTTTTATTTGTCCTATTTTTAACTTTCACCAGCACTCTCAGTTCCCTTTATCCTTCTGACGTATCAATCTACCTTCCTGGTTAAATGTTTTCTCTGTGCGTACTCTCAAACTGCCAAGCATCATTAGGGAGAGTTGTACAAACTTGTAGATGGATGCTTGTACCAATGCATGATTGCTAACTTCCACTGAACCTTTACAACTACCTAAAATGCTTCTGCTTCTTCCTAATTAACTCTTTTTCACACACTCTGCAGAGCCTACTGCAAAATTTTGCCTCTCTCCTAAGATACCTGCCTTAGTCTCATATACTCTTATTTTTAGCCTTTGATACTTTTTCTCTGCAGAGAAACTATGAATCATCAAGCTATATGGAGGGAGCTCCTTCAATAAAATTCTCTTATTTCTACCTCTTATCCTTCTCCACACTCCTCCCCCAAATACTGCCAAATATTTCAAAGGAAGTGTCCTAGGTGTTCTCTTCTGATTTGAGCTACTGCTTTCTTAATCTTGGCTGCATATTGCATATTGGCATCACCTGGAGAGTTTAAGCATCCACTGATGCCTAGATCACAACCCCAGGACCGGGCATTGGGGTGCTCAGAAGCTCCCACAGGTGATTCTAATGTGTGGCCAAGGTTGAGAATGTAAGTATCATCCTCTGAGAACTTGGTCTGCCAGTCTCTACCCTCTGCCTACAGATACATTACGTTTCTCATCTTCTGGGCAGCAACCATTTCTTGTTCATTTTTATATTTTTATGGTCTACGTTCCTGGCAACATAGTGGATTCTCAAATACTCTTGTTAAGTGAATAAAGTAATCAAATAAAGCTGCATACAGTTCTTTTGTGACTCCTCCTCCCCAACCTAAATTTCCAACTACAGATTCAGTATTTCCAGTGCTGAGCCTGTTGTAGTTTACTCTTTCTGAAAGTTACTTTTCTTTTTGGGTTTCCTATAACTTTAAGTTGAATTATATGCACCAAGTCACCTAAGCTAGAAATCTGATCCCCTTTGATTATTTCCTCTTATTTCCCATGTCTCATTGATCGAGTCCTGGCAGTTTTTTTCCTCTGAACTGTTTCTTGTCTTTATCCTCTTTTTTAAAAAATTGAGGTATAATTGACATTTAACATTATATTAGTTTTAAGTGTACGATGTAAAGATTTGCTGTTTGTATACATGTGAAATGATCACCACGATTATTCTAGTTAACATTAGTCACCTTACGTAGTTAAAAAAATTTTTTTTCTTGTGATGAGAACTTCTAAGATCTACTCTCTTAGCAACTTTCAAATATTGAATACAGCATTAGTAACTATAGTCACCAGACTGTATATTACATCCCCAAGACGTGTTTATTTTATCACTGAAGGTTTATATATTTTGACTCCCGTCACTTATTTCTTCTTGTCTCTTTCCCCCTCTGGCAACCACCAATCAGTTCTTTGTATCTATGAGCTAGTTTCTTTTGTTTTTATTTCTGTTTAGATTCCACATATAAGTGAGATCATATACTATTTGTCTTTGTCTGACTTACTTCACTTAGCATAATACCCTCAAGATCCATCCATGTTGTTGGAAATGGCAAGAT